TTTTAACTTCCAGATAATGAATACAACAGCAAAAATGCTTTTTTACAGAGTGCTAATCATCTCCAAACAAACTCCTTGGACACTTTGGCTGTTTACTCAGCATAAACAACTGAAACTGGCTCCACAAAGCAAAGCTAACTCAGCTCAGGAGAGACTGCTCAGTGTGGGCAGAGAGAATACATGCTCTCTTTGTGTGTTTTAGGCAGTCTGATATGATCTGCCCAAAGATGCCGCTGTATGGTCGACTTTACATTTGGTTGAATCTGCCTGTTTCTGTCTTTGTCAATTTAAAGTCTGAACTGTATGAACAGATAAATAATAAATAAAACCATCAGAAAAGGGAGTCAAAGAATGTGAGGCATTATATAACAAAACCAAAACCCAGACAAAGGGAATGTTAAAGTCAATTTCAAGGGCTGTTATATAATCAGTCCATTTATGTCAAAAAATTGTCTCAGTGTGTTTTTTTTCTTGTCTGGAAAGAAAAGTCTGTGGAACAGCATTCAGAAACAACAACTCTACACTGGAACCCAGACTAGAGAAATCCCTTTACATGCTCCTCTTCACGTGATTAAGCGGAATCACAACACATGTTAACATTCTATTTGCCAGTGGAAAGAAGTGACGATTACCCTGTTGGCACCATCGGTCTTGATTTGAATTTACCCCTCTGGGATCGAACTCTGGCTTTCGACTGAAGCATTTTTTAAATGTTTTCTCAACTTTTGTTTTGGTGACTAAAAACCACCAAAGATCCCAATGGGAGGGTGATGCAGGTTTTACAGCCCCACTCCCCTGAAGCAACTGAAAAAAGAGAAGATCCAAAATGCATTCAGTATGTTTGCAAACCTCAACATCAGTCTGCAGCCCTCTGGACCTGGCACTGACATGCATCATGGGTGATGAGTTCAAGAGGATAGATGTGAATGCTCCCAAGCGCACTGAGGATGCATTGAGATCAGATCGATCAGATCACATTTGGACATGTTCTGTGCTGCATGTGGCATCATTCTTTCAGTGAATGATTCCTGGGACATGATGGAGGACCAGACGTCCTCTGTGTGAGAGGACTTTGTGTTTAGTTGCTTCTCAAACCACATAAATTGGTTTTGTCTATGACGTCTGAAAATTCCAAAAAGCCCATACAGACATCCATATTTTCACAAAACTCTGTGTCTGTGGTTCGCGTGTTCGGAGAACCGTGCATCTTATCTGCTTCACACTTGGCATGTGTATTGTTAGAAGCCAAGTGATTCATTCAACACCAATAAACTTGTATAAATAGTCGATCAGTGCTCTCTTGCAGCAGAGACTAGAACTCATAAGGTGCATTCATGACAGTGACAACTGATTCTCCAGGTTCAGGCTCTGCATATTGAGTCAAGCTTTATCAAACTTTGAAAAAACAGGTTTGTGGACTGGATTTGTGGAGTCCTGCTGTCTTTACTTGCTTTGGCTTAATCACAGCAGGTTTTAGTTTCAGAAAGAAAGCTGCAACCAGCATTACTGCAGCTAACAGCCCATTCCAAACAGGCAGGTTTACAATGGGCACTATAGTAATGCATCAAACATCTTGGTTTAATTCACTTTGCCTGGACACACCTAGAAATAAACCCAATTTCTACTTCTTCTTTAAACTTCCAGCAGTCGATGCACTTGGTGCATTGTTACCTCCCCCTTTTTTAGAATAAAAATGCTGTGAGCTTTTATTCGCACATAGATCAGGGAGGTTAAATCTGATCACAAGTGGTCACTGGAGACATCCACGGAGACACAATCTGATACCAAGTGTGAACCGACGAAGTTAGAGCTGTCCACTGATCGCGTCGCCTGAGATGTTAATGCCAGGTGTGAACAGCCTCAGCCTGGCCCCCGGGGACTGTTTCAGCGCGAGAGGCCACGAACACAGCGGTGCCCTCCTGCCCCCGACCACATCACTGAAGTGACTGTGAAGACAGCTAGAGCACTCCCCCCCCCCCCCCCCCTACTCTTCACAGCACATCAATCCCCCTGAGGTTGTTACTGTGAGGCAGTTAGCAGCGCGGCGGCTGGACACGAGCAAACAATGTATTGTGTGGCCACCCAGGAGAGAAAGAGAGTGGGAGATAAAGGGAGACAGAGAACAGCAGAGAGAGAGAGAGAGAGAGATCATTAAATATGATCTGGGGTTAAGTGAGAGGCACATTTGCTCTGTGTTTAAATCACAGATAACGAGCTGCAGTCGACACAACAGCACTATGGATGCACATTCCACTGATTGACGTCTGATTTGATGGGGATGGAGGTAGCAGTGTGTGTGAGAGAGAGAGAGAGAGAGAGAGAGAGAGAGTGTGTGTTTGTACAAAGCACATATGTTGGGGGGGTTGGAGGTGACCGATATTAAAGCAACTTATCATGCTCTCTTCCCTCTGGCTGGAGAGAGAAAGAAAAAGAGGGGACTAAAAAGGGGAGCTGAGGGAGGGAGGAGGGTGAGATAATTCGTGGTTGGAGTTTCTTTTTTCCACAGTCCCCCCTCGCCCCTCGCAATTCCAGTCAATTACACCAGTCCCATAATTCAATACAGCGAAACAAGGAAGTTGCCGGGGAATTCTAATTTAATTTAAGGTCATTTATTCAAACAAATCATAGAAGTTGCAGCATTAGAGAAGAAGCTGGCAGTGTGGAAATGAGCGCTGTGCTGTACGTCAGCAGACTTGTGTGTACAGATGCAGAGAGGGAAAAGGCAGTAAAAGCAGCCGGCACCTGTGACGGATGGCGACGGCGGTCAAACTGTAAAGTGGCTAATATCTCCAGACTGGGCCGTGTACCGTGCAGCAGCAGCGGTGGCCGCCTGGAGCCCTCCCGGGCCCCGCAGAGCGCTGATGCTTTATTTTGTCTTTGAAAGTGCCAGGCTCGTTTGTCATCGCCATCACTGTCAATGAAGCATTATTCATTGTCGAGCTAAGCCCTCTCACTTGCGCGGCTATCTCCGCTAACCCGGCAATGAACTCCTAAATCACTGCAGACTAGGATTTGAATATTTCACCACAATAATTGGAGCTTTAACCTAATCTAGGGGCGCAGGAGCTTCTCTTCTGTTTCCAATGAGGAGGACTCAAAAGGCGCATCAGGATCCAATCACTAATAATAAGGAACTTCTCACAGTCTGTGAGCAAGCATAATTACCACTGATCCAGATTAAGGTTTTATCTGGGGCCCGACTGCCGCTCCAACAAACAGCAAACACTGGTTACTATCGTAACCGGGGAGCAATATTTTTGCTATCATGTCCTCCTATTTTCAGCTCTGCATTTTGCTTCAATACCAACTGATTATTTTGTAATATCAGGAAGTGTCTCATGGGAGATTGAATGGGATGAGGGTGGAGAAGAGAGGGGTTTCAGCGATTAGCAGCTTTGTGTTTTAAACTGAAAAGGGGGAAAATAGAGCTGTGGAGGTGGAAGCCGACTGAACACCAAAACGACAGCGGCGGCAGCTGCACTTTTTTCCATTTGCTCTGTTTTCCCTTGTCTCACCCATCTCCGCTCTCAGGTTCATTGTCAGAGACGATTTTCATCGCGGCGCTGAGGGAGACATTACTGAACATTATAGCTGCTGAGTACATTTGTTTATCTGGTATAAACAGTATTTTAAATGATTGACAGGTATCATGACATTTCCACCGAATCATTAAGCATACACCCCCCTCCTGCGCTGCGTCGCTCCCAACAAAAGAGTGTTTGTAGAGCGCCTTGTCAATCACGGCTCACTCCCGACGACTGTAATCTATATGTAAGTCAACTTAAAAACAAATACATTAGACGCTGTCAGCTCCATGCGTAATGCCGCCATTCCTGTGTCAATCAACGTGCAGCCAGCTCAACGTGATTTAGAGCTGTCAGCCGCCCTGCAGCTTCAACTGTTTGTGTGACGAAGCATCAGAAAACTCAACCGAACGACGGGTTTCCAGTGAAAAGTACGTGCTGGTGCTCTCTCTGGAGGTTTTCTTTCCACCTGCATAACCTCTGACCTTTGCACCGAGTCGTGACGACCACAGAGCCGTCCCTCAGGGGAAGGAGAAGCTTGTCACACAGATGAGGGGAGTGTGTAGTCATTTTCATACAAGGTCAGGTGCTTTGAGACTGGAGTCACTATGTGGTCTTTCACGGGGGGTTGTCGGTTCAGCACAGGGCCCTGGTGTTTGAGGGCTCATGGGAAGCAGAGAACTCTGAGCCTGTGAGTTCTGCTGGAGGATGGCAGAGGTAACAAAGCCTGCACAAACCCTGACAAGCGTTCTCAACACCCGGCTCAGCCAGCGTCCCACGTCAGCGCAAAGCTGGCTGTGTCGCTTGATTTACAAAAGCAGATAATGATGCAAGGTGGATTATCCATATTTATTCCACTTTTCAGACATGTCAGAAGCTAGAGGCTCGAATCGGCGTCTGCAGCAACCGGATGGGGAGCTGTCTGGCTCACAAACACATCCCTGATGAGGGCTTGATGTTGGAAACTGCATCGTCTTCCATCCTTAAGAAATCTTTCCTTATTTTTAATTTCCCTTCGTACTCTTGCAACATTTTGAACTGGGGTAAACAAATCTTACTACCATCTCAGATTTGTCTTAGCAGAGGGAGCCTGGGGGGGGGGGGGGGGGGGGGGGGCATGACTTTCACTGTCTTTCTATCAGGCTTAATGTCAAATCAATACGTATTGAGAGGAGAAGAAGAGGAAGTGCTGGCGAGGATTTGCCTGGACAGTCAGCGGTGTGCGTGTGAGCTCAGGAGGTGCATTAGATGTGGATTTAGAGTACAGTATGAGATTGATTATCATTATGAGCTCTGCACTCGGGGCTAGTTTGCAAGAGCAGATCAAAGATGCAAACGCCGTCGCCGGCCGATGCAGAGTCACAGGATCAGAGAAACACTGTAGCTCTGTTATCTTTACCATTCAAATAAATGACCCACTGTGAAGATATACTTTCAGAAAGATGAGTTCCAGGCACTGCAGGACAGTAAACTCACCGTGGTGTATTTGCCAAGCTGGCAGAGGGAGGGGAAGGTTTCTTGATGGGCCTTGCGAATCTTTTCAATGATGCTCTCCAGCTCGGCTGTCAGCTCGTAGCTCTCTGCCAGCTCCGGCTTTGGGCTCTCTTTCTTCTTCTTATTCCGGTCATTTCGAACAGCTGAAGGAGAACAAAGGATTAGGATTAGGCGTCGACAATGAAGCCTGTAAATGGATGACTTGATCATCGCGGCAAATGTGGACGTTGGTGGATGGAAATGAAATGAAAGACATTTCGAAGGAGGAAGAACAGAAGTTTGTTGTTTGTAAGCATATTTTCTTTTGTCTGGTGACTTTTCAAGAGATGCAGCAAGTTGTCAAGTTATAAACGGAGACCTTACATAAGGAGAGAAAGTTTGGAGCTGCAGACTCTTCTGTCGGCTGAACCGGTTTCTGTCAGTATCAACTGGCACAGTCTCAAATAAGGAGAAAACAAAAGTGGCTATAAAAACTCAAGTGCTTCACAAATGGGCCGTGCGATTTGTGAGGCCATTTTCAATTAATTTCCCATTTCTATTAGTTTCCTCTAACTAATGGTTTGTGTGCTTTTATTAGGTGGCTCATCTGAGGTAGGCCTGAGGTGTAGATTAAGGACAAGGACAAGGACATGGATGAGTTTCTTCAATTCACAATGTGAATGTTAATTATTTACATTCATTTAATCTGGGAAAAATTAAACTACAATAATCAGGCATGCAAAGCTATTAAGTACATTTGCTGAAGTACTGTATATTATATGCAACATTTCTGAGTGACTGAGAAACAAGGTGTTGTGTCTGCGTGGATGACATTTCAAAACACGCAGCAGGCAGGAAAATGAAAAAAAAAGAATAGAAATATCTCAGGATGAAAAAGAGGTGCTATACACTGAGACACTGAAGAAGATGTCAAGAGAGCTTTTGGTGATAAGGACAATGTACTGTAAACAAATAGATGTGATCTCCCCACCCAAACGTTTTGTCCTGACTCGGTGCACCCCCCCCTCACCTGGGGTTCATGTCTGTAGAGGGCGTTTCAACATCCTTGAATGAATTTTATTCTGATAATTGAGTTGTATTGTTGATTCGTTGATATTTGTTAAGAGCAAAGAGAAACCCCTGTACCCCCACGACTATTGCACTGCCTTCTACAAGCGTAGCTTTCTCATAACCGTCAGGCAGCTTTAACTGATATTTTACAATAACAATGTATTTGATGTCAATGTGATAACAACGCGACAATGTGAAAGGGTCCGCCTATAGCAATGAACCTACAGAGAAATGTCAGCTTAATCTCCAGCTGCCAGTCGTTTCCAGTCTGCTGATTTGTGCCATGTTGTCTTTAGCTGCAGCAGCTTTCAGAGAAAAAGCTCCGAAAGCTGCTGCACCCTATCTCAGCATCATGTGGTAAACTTTGTGAAGCATTAGCAGCTAAAGATACAGCTGAAAGAGTAGGTGCATTGGCCACAAACACAAATTAAACTATTAGCTGGAAGAATCCTTATCTCGCTCCACCTCTCCACTATCATCTGCAGACTTTCCACCATTACATATGTCTCTCTGCTGTCATCAGTCTGTGCTGCATGCCGCTTCACCACCCCCCACTGCTGCCACTGTCGAGGCTCCATCTAAAGATGCTTGCATCTCGTTATCAGAAGTGTATGACATGTAAGCATGTCTTCTCTCACATGGATTATGGCAGCTGGACTTGTAGATGTCACCGGACGTGGCCGCTTACCACAATGGAAACGACATCCTTGCATTGAACAATACACTATGAAGTGATGTGCGTACACAATCCCAAAGAAACAGGTGCACAAACCTCAGGGAGTGAGTCCCACAGTACGAAACAGGCAGGAGCTACAACAAAGCCCAGGCTGCTGTGTGTGAACTGCACCCTGAGAGACTGGAGTCCACAGAATCCTTTGCTTCATTAGGTGCAGATCTTTGAAGTCTGACTCAAACAAACCAAGCAGGTTTATCGCTTAATGCATAGCGTGATCATCCATACATCACAGGTCTCTGATCAGCCACACACTCCCCTTTCAAAGAAGGTGAGGAGCTGGAGAGAGAGTGCTGGGCCCCGTTGTCGGCACTGAGACACACAAGGGACCTTCTGTGGCTGACAAAACAACAGTCACATCCTCTGCCCTAGTTTATAATAAAAGCCCTCTATATTTCCACATTAAAGCCAAGGTTGGAAACCTTTAAAGCAGATCTACAAATAGAGAAATATAAATATATATATATATATATATATATATGAGGGATTTTGCAAACAGTGGCCTACTTAAACAACAGTGAACACGGTGAAGCTTATGAAACCTCCCCTCTCTTCAGCTCTCATAACCACTATTATTTTCATATTCAGAAATCCAGGAAGCTTGTGTATCAGGGGTGTGAACCAAAGGTTGCACTGGGACCCGGTGACAAGAGCGTCCACACACTAACTGTGACACACAAAGGGTGTAGGCAGGAATGTTTGTGGCACTGAACACACTATATAACATGAAACAACATGAGAAGTACAATGAAGAGAGACAAAAGCTATAGCTTGTTGTGAGATGCTTGGGGAAGGTGTTCCAGAGCCTGAAGGCCACAGAGCTGAAGTCGCACAGAGATGGTTCAATGGGGAGAGTGGCTCTGGGGTCAGTTCTCAGTATAATACAAAGTTTGATATGACTTTGTAGAGTCTTGAATGTGAGGAGAGGAATGATGTAGGGTTTTAGGGCTGGAGTGAGACAGGGATGATGAGAGAAAATGGCACAAAATACAGTTCCAGGTCTAATTTTATACTTGTTTAACCCCAATATTGCACAAAACAGAACCATTCATAAAAACTCTAGACTTTTTCAGACCAACGCAGCAGGAGATTGTTCGGTCAGACACGTTCACAACAACCCAGAAATCTCAGGTGTGTTCAGGTGAGGGGTGGCGCAGCAGGAAGCGGCAGGTTGTTAAATATTAATTCTGCTGTGGAGATCAAGTGTTTTTGTTTACAGCACAACAACACTGGTGTCGGCCCTTATCACCAAAAACTGTCTTGACATCTACATCTGTGTCTTCTACATCTGTGGCTCTGCTTTTTCCTCCTGAGATATTTGCATTGTTTTCGTTTCTTCCATTTTTGCCTGTCATGTATTAGAAATGTCATCAACCCACACATTCACTTGCTGTGAGTCCTGCGGAGGATCTCTTTGCTGCTTTGTAACATGGGCTATGTTATTCACATGGTATTATGATTTTACTGCAAGATGGTCTTTCTGTGTATAATGTTATCCCTATGTTTGCGTGGGTTTTCTTTCGGGACTCCTCCCTAAAGACTGGGGACTTTAAATTGACTGTAGGTGTGACTGCTGCTGCACTTATTTATTAGGTGAGGGACCCTATCACTAGACTGCACTAATGCCCCCGCCTGTGACTGAGACACTTCAACTTCCCATGGCCAATAACAAACTAACTGCACGTACTTCAAATTGTAAATACCTTATCTTATCATCTAAATTGCACAGTCCTTGAGTTTACAACATATTGCACAATGCCTTCTCTATTTTTAATATTTTTATTACAAATGTATTTACAAACACACCACAGTAAATTCTTTGTACGTGTAAACGCACAAACCCCGATTCTGAATGTGAGAGTGAATGTATGTCAGCCCTGTGATGGACTGGCGACCTGTCGAGGGTGTACCACGCCTCACAAACAATGTCAGCTGGGATGAGCTCCTGCTCCCCCTGTGACCCTCATAAGATAAGCGGTATAGATGGAATGGATGGACCTGGCCATGTGACTCTGGCTAAGATAAATATTTCTCAGATGTTGGTATATCTTTAACTTGATGAGCTGCAACAGTAACATACTGCTTACAATGCTTACACCCTACCACAGCCTTTCTGACCCAATCAGAGATAAATATATTGACCAATGTGCTTATTCCCATAATCAGGCATTAACCCAACACATGGGTTAGAGTCCAACTCAAACAACTCATCTGTTTTATCAGCAGTGGTTGATACCCTTAATCTGTTTGACCTGATGCGTGTAAACTGACACATGCTGGTAGCCTACTTTCAAACTGCAGTTTCTTTTCTATTCCTCCACATAGTGTCAGAGACAAATCGGTCGCGCTCGGGGACATCGGATGTTGTGCACGTCTGTTTCATTCTGACTCTTTTCACCCACATCTCACAGGCTCCTCTGGCTCCACACTGTCTGAGCGTCTCAGTGCATCGAAATAAAAGAGAGTCAATATGAGTTGGACTGAATGCTATGGTCAGCCTTCTGAATCGTTCTGACTATTCTGCTGAGAGGCAGCAGTAATGTGCTGACATTAATCACTCCATACATTTTGACCTATATCTTTGACCTATATGTCTGTTACATTGAAGTAGCCTATATGTACTGTATGTATTCAAGAGTATTTCCACTACATCAACTGCGATTATGCAGTTAGTAAAGCAAGCTTTGACAGTGACAATGTTAATTACTTCACAGACTATAATGGGATCCAGGAGAACACTAACACTGACTAATTATAACAGAATCAAATTAAATAGATTTCCTGGCCACAGATTGGATCAGTTTTAAGATTATTACAAATTTCATTTGTATTTTCTGCTTCATACTTGACGGTGTTTATCCGCCAACATATAAAATGAAACCAGTAATTAGAGAACTGATGGAAGGGACGTCACTTAGAGAGGACAAAACATGGAGGGGCCACAATATTGTGTTGTGATTCAAAACAAGAAATGAGAAGGTGACAGAACGATGAGAGGATATTGAAGTTTATAAAAAATGGCACAGGAGAAAATTATACATATACATGTATACGTATACAAATGTATGTAAATGTACAATAAACCTGTGAAAGTCCCTGAAAACCTTTAAAGGTCTGTTGTGATGTTAATTGCAGACCACACACTCAATTACACTTGACTGAACAATCAAATCTATGCATATCATGTAATTGAATTAATTAGCTACATGTGAAACGTCAAAAACCATGTCTGCAATATGTGAATGTTTTAAAAATGTCTATAGAATCACACATCAAATTTAAATTGAACATGTAAAGTAACATGTGAGATTGTTTGAACAATGGGAACTATTAATTAATTCAATTGTCATCAATCAATTA